ATAAGGTGAGTGGAAAGGGTTAACATTTCATATTTAGCTCTAAAAGTCTGATCAATTCTACACATGTAGGTGCTGTAAAGTCATGGAAAATTCCCTTTAGGTCATGAAAAAATCATGGAAAAGTTTTTAAATTTTGCCAGTGAAAAAGAGCGGGAACCCTGACTTCATGACATCACAAGGTGGAAAAGAGCTTGTTGGACTTTTGGAAATGTAGAAAGACTAATAATAAAGGATTACTCAAACATGTGTGAATGAAACAAAACACAACTCCAGGTAGGTTTGTGATGCATTGTGTAACTTTTCTAGTAGGGGGTCCGTCAAATGTTTTTCTCCACGGAGATGTTATTGCTTTGTCTGGAATGCTTCACAGTGTGGCATTAACCCTCTCAGGCTCAAATTAATTTTTAGTATCAGGAAAAATCTGATATTTGGGGAAAATTATAATATGGGGTAGTAATATACAGTCCTGACTTTTTTATCCTTTGTGAACACAAAAAGTACTTTGCACTTCTGGCAGGCCGTTTCTTGCACAGTCTGCATCGTCCACGTTTATCAGCATGGATGGGAGAAAAGGCTCCTGAGTAAAAAAAGCTCATAAAATATGGATGTGGAGTAAGTAGGTACTTGGAATTTTGCAACACCTGCCTGGAGAGGGTTAAATTATCATTTCTATCATCATGTGAACCAGACCAAGTTACAGGTCAACAAATGTAAGTTAGAGCTGTTTAATATCATACTGTGGAACATTCCAGGTGGAGCAATGACATATCCATAGCGTCACAAACAGGGGACAGACCCCCAATCGAAAAGTTACACATTGCAGCTTCAATTTTGCGTAATATAGGACCTTTTAGAAGTAAAACTGCTTCAGTGAATTGCTAAGCTTGGAGTAACAGTGGCACAGTGGGTTAAACATATGGCCAAAAACCAGACAGTAAGCAGTTCAAACCTGTGAAATCAATAAGCAAGACACTTAATCCATTGCCCAACCCAGGTACAATAGACGCAAAAGACTTAAAGATTAAAAGGACATTGATTACAGTTGGACCAAGCCGGCTACTTTCTAGTCTGTTCAAACATGTATTGATTTAGCTTGTTGTTTAGCTTGTCTAATGCTAATCGCTACAATGAAAAAGGTTAAATATTTATAGATTGCTAAAACGCCATTTTACTCTAATTTAGTCCACAGTAGCTAATTACCAAACGTGTCGTCTACTCCTGAACACTGTTATGTGGTGGCTTCCTGAACATAAAAAGCCAGCATACTGTTTATTGTTGCTTTGCTTCTTTCTTTCATATTTAAAGGTGCATTGTGTAACTTTTCTGGGGTCTGTCACCTGCTTGTTTCTATGGATATGTCATTGCTCTGCCTGGAATGTTCCACAATATGACATTAAACAGCTCTACCTTACATTTATTTACAATTACAGGTAGTTTCAGAGCTCAAAAATACATACAAAAACACACATTCTGACTGTGACAGGTCATATCTATGGACGCCTCTCCACAGATCTGACCTGTAACTTCGTCTGGTCTCCATGATGATAGGCAGGTTTAAAGGTTTATGCCATACTGTGAAACATTCCAGACAAAGCAATAACATCTCCATGGAGAGAAGTATTTGACGGACCTTCCGCCAGAAAAGTTACTCAAGGTACCTATTCGTGCAATAATCATGATTTTTAATAACTTAATAGAATTTTAAAAAGTAGTAGTAGTGGTAGTGGTAGTAGTGGTAGTAGTAGTAGTAGTGGTAGTGGTAGTGGTGGTATTGGTAGTAGTAGTGGTAGTAGTAGTATTGGTAGTAGTGGTGGTAGTGGTAGTGGTGGTAGTAGTAGTAGTAGTAGTAGTGGTAGTAGTGGTAGTGGTGGTAGTAGTAGTACTGATAGTGGTAGTAGTGGTAGTAGTGGTTTTAGAAAGTAGTGATAGTAGTAGTAGTAGTAGTGGACTAGTGGTAGTAGTAGTGGACTAGTGGTAGTAGTAGTGGACTAGTGGTAGTAGTAGTGGACTAGTGGTAGTAGTGGTAATAGTGGTTTTAGAAAGTAGTGATAGTAGGTAGTAGTAGTAGTGGTAGTGGTAGTAGTAGTGGACTAGTGGTAGTAGTGGTAGTAATGGTGGTGGTAGTAGCGGTAGTAGTAGTGGTAGTAGTAGAAGTAGTAGTAGTATTGGTAGTAGCGGTAGTGGTAGTGGCAGTAGTGGTAGTAGTAATAATAGTAGTAGTGGTGGTTGTAGTAGTAATGGTGGTAGTGTGTGTTTGCGTGCGCTGCGGGTGGTGCGGCTTTGTAGTTTACTGAAGTGGTGCTGGGACACCCGAGTGGATTCGTGGATAGGGTGCTCTGGATTGCGGTTTGTGCAATCGTTTTTTGATGGGGTTGGAGGCTTATGAGCGCGGCCTATGGTGCGGAAAATACAGTACTAGGTATGTTTTAGATGAAGAAACAATGTGACTAAAAGCTCAAAAAAGTCACAAAACAATGTACCTTTTAACTTTTCCTGTACTTTTTTGGTAACTTTTAACAGCACCCAGCCTCAAACCTTACCAAAACACCTCACTGCTGACAACAATGTACACAGCCCATTTCCTGCCCTCTGAGCTGTTAACGACTCACTCCCATCTTTATAATTACTATACTCTTCTCTACTTTCCTCCCTTCTCCATCCACACTGTCTGAAGTTGTCCTGTTTATAGACCTCCATGCACTGTGCACGCAATTATCCCCCACCATATGTTAACATAGAAGCATATGGAGCGATGGAGTCCAGCAGAGCGGCACATGACTACTACTGATGCCCTGCTGGTTAGTATATAGGCCGCATTACAGTGACTATTATGGGGAAGAAGATGGGGAACTATTTCATATTTGTTGAGTTTTTATAGGAGTGAGAAAATGTCTGTAGGGTTGGTTGTGATTTGAGAAGCGAGGACTGGATAACGGAGCATAATGAATGGATAAAAAATGAAAACAGATAGATAAAATGGATTATATCTGGAATATTTTGGCAACAATGCGTTCTTACAGTGTATGAGATATGAGCAACAGTGAAGGGAAGAAAACTTTATGTATGTATTTAATTTGAAAATACTGAACCTCTATTACAGTGTATTTTGTAATGTATTCAGTTACGCGGTCCAATCAGATTACTGTGTTCTGAATACTTAAAATGCATCTCTATGTATAAGTATTCTATTTTAGTGTAAAAATACTACATGCAGCTCTATTTTTGCCATGTTTGTTTTGCATTACCAGGGTAGCCACGGAGTCTTAAAAGTCTTTAAAAGGTCTTAAATTTCATGTTCCTAAATTAAGACCTTAAAAAGTCTTAAATTATGATGTCCAAGTCTTATTTTTTTTAAATAGGTCTTACATTTCATTAGCCTATTTTTTTTGTTTATTCAACTGGGCTGCAGTACAATGTTATAGGGAAGAACAAACAACAGCACCGTGAAATCGCGCAACGTGAATGAACATCTAATTTCGAATTTGCACAAACAATACTTTGGTTTCAGGTGCCGGCGGCAATGAGTAAATCATCAGTAGAGTGGAGGAAGACATTGGATGGATCATGGGGACGTGTTAATCCACAGTGGCTCTTAGATTTGTAGATATAGTAGTTGGTTGGTCATTATTAGAATTGGATCTGATGTTTTTCACCCACATAATGGGTGCGATGTTGGTCTTAATTTTCATTTAAGTGGTCTTAAAAAGGTCTTAAAAAGTCTTAAATTTGGGGTAGTCAAACCTGGGGATACGCTGATTAAAATGGAGAAGGGAAATTGCACTTGTAAGCACTGAGCTGTGTTCTTTTTCTTTTTTTTTTTTTATTAATACCGTGAAGTTCAAAGCCAAAATTACATGATAAAGTATTCTGAATACCAATTGAAAGAGTAACTGTATGGAGTACGAAAGCTTTCAGAAATATTTGTGTGTACAGGATAGAAATTGGGGTCGCTCAATTTAATTTCTCTCCAGCGACTAGGTCAAGAATCAGAATACACTAGACGGTTTGCAAGAGCCCTGGAAGTTGTAGACCGCACACTGGCCAATCAGAGAAGAGCTGTGAAGCCGGCAATTACTTGGACACCACTAAGCGTTCCAGCACATTACATACTTCACGACCAAATAGCAGCGATTGGTTAGATAAAAAAAAGTATCCGCCTCCTGTCAACCGGATGAATCCTAATGCTGCGAGGTCAGACGGTTTCCACACGGTTCCACGGTTGCATATTTGGCTGTAGTTGAGCACAAAATAAATATTCATAAACTCTCAAATGAGTCCAGTCATACATAAAATATGTTGTGTGCATTTTATCCATCAGAATATGAACTGAAAAGTTACAACATCAAGAATTACAATCACAAAATCAAAATTTCCAGTTATGCTTTTTTCTGCATCTAATGGATAAGGTGCAGTATTGTCCAGGAAAGAGGTGCACGGTTAGCATGCTAGTTGCAGTTAGTATTACATGATGGCAAAACTTCACTCTGATCTCTGGTTTTTGATCTTCTGGTGTTTCATGTTATTTGCACTTCAGTAATTGCAAGTTAGTACAGAGCAGTGGGCGGAGACAGGGGGTAGGTGAAAACAGGATTTTTTCTAATGCAGAATTATAGAGGATCAGTCAAACATGCATGAACCGTTGAAATACAGTTTTGAGAAAGTTAATGCTGAAGGAAGAGTGTGAGAAAACGGTTAAAACCTCATAAAAAGTCTATTTTGCATAATATGTTCAGTTTCTTTTACATTTAACTTGTATTTTTTCTCCGTCTAGCACCAGCACAATCATTAGCATACAGCCTCTCTTCTCACACTCCCTGACCTTTAACAGATCTAGAGTTGCGTTCACTTTATCTTTATCGGCTGCTGCTGTCTTCACATCGCTTTGTTTACCTTGATTCTGCTCCCAGATAGCACTTTGAAAGTACTGTAAACATGGCATTGGCTATCCACTAATACTGTGTGTGTTTGTGTCTTTGTGTGTGTGTGTTTTTGCCCTGTAGCTAATCCAGACACTGAAGAGGCTGATGAGACCCTCCGCAGTGGAATTCAAGTCCCCACTGGAGCTGTCTGCGCAGGGTGAGTGAACAAGGCTCTGCAGTACTGGCATTTTTATCACTGCCGTATAAACAAGCAGATTTGTCTGAAGGGAAATAAAGTGGAGATGAAATTCTCGGAAAACTAAAAAGTCAAATCCACAAAGGTTCTTGCTTTATTTGGTAGGATAATTTATTTTTTATTAACAGTAATTAAAATGCCAATATCACACTGTTTTCTGTTCTGTTATAATGTTGTTTCCTCATCAAAAACAGACCTGGAGTTGTGTTTTGTTTCATTCACACGTTTAACACACAAATCTTACTCTTACTCTGTTCTGCTGTGATGTAATGTGATAATACAGGAAGTGCTCCATTGTGTTTTTAAACTCCATACACCTTCGCTTGAATCATTCGGGTTAGGGTTATCACTTTCAAATTCAAGTTCGAAGTTTATTGTCAGTTTTTCATAAAAAGATCAAATGAAGAATCAGAATTGTGTTTCTCACTGTCCCATGTGTAAAAAATAAATAATAAGTAGTAAATAGTGCAAAAGTGTAAAGACTGTCTTCTTGGGAGGGTCAGGGCCGGTCTGAGTCCAAGTTCTTTCTGTTCTTTGGGAGAAACAGATTCCTAGCTTCCTGGCAGCCTGGTGGATGCGGGTGGCATATAGGCAGACAAAGCGGGTGGCATATATGCAGACGAGGAGGGTGGCATATATGCAGATGAGGAGGGTGGCATATATGCGGAGTGAGGAGGGTGGCATATATGCGGGTGAGACGAATGGTGTATATGTGGGCAAGGCAGGGTGGCATATGTGTGGGCGAGGAGGGTGGCGTATATGCGGGCGAGGCGGGTGACGTATATGTGCGGGCGAGGCGGGTGGTGTATATGCGGGCAAGGCGGGTGGGGTTTATGTGGGTGGCGTATATGTGGGCGAGGCGGGTGGTGTATATGTGAGCTAGGCGGGGTGACGTATGTGTGGGCGAGGCGGGTGGTGTATATGCGGGCAAGGCGGGTGGTGTATATGTGGGTGGTGTATATGCGAGCGAGGTGGGTGGCGTATATGCGAGCGAGGTGGGTGGCATATATGCGGGCGAGGCGGGTGGCGTATACGCGGGCGAGGCGGGTGGCGTATACGCGGGTGAGGCGGGTGGTGTATATGCGAGCTAGGTGGGGTGACGTATGTGTGGGCGAGGCGGGTGGCATATATGTAGGCAAGCGGGTGGGGTATGTGCGGGCGAGGCAGGTGGTGTATATGCGGTCGAGGCAGGTGACATATATGTGGGCGAGGCGGGGTGGTGTATATGCGGGCAAGGTGGGTGGTGTATATGTGGGCGAGGTGGGTGGCGTATCTGCGGGTGAGGTGGGTGGTGTATCTGCGGGCAAGGCAGGGGGCGTATATATGAGCGAGGCGGGTGGCGTATATATGAGCGAGGCGGGTGGTGTATATGCGTGTAGTGTATATGCGGGTGAGGCATCTCCATGTCATTGTAGTGTTCCGGTATGTTCGACTAATCAACAATTCCAGCCATACCTCAGTTTTCATCATTTCCCCACAGACGCACAACTCCGAGTGCACTGGGTACATGTGATTAGAAGAGACGAGGCGCCAAATTCAAGATGATTCCAAACAGCACTCAGATGAATGCTGCTGTTGTGTCATTGGGCTTTTTTTTTGTGACAGATGTGAAAAATAGAAGCTCATTGGTCATCTATCATTGTTAATCTGAGGTGGGAGACAATTGATTTTTTTTAATAGAGTTTAGTGCTTTTCTCATTAATTCTGCAGAAATCTGTGATGTTTGTGAGTCCCCTAAGGTGCCAAATACATTTTTTTTTGTTCTTTCTTCCTCGTAAGCAGCCATATTTGTTTTGATACAGACGAAACATGCATGTTGCTGATTGGCTGATCCACATGTCAATCACGCCCATTTTGAACTGGGAGGGATTTGACGATGACCAGTGTGTATTTTGGACCCCAGGCAGTCGTTCTCCTGGATCTAATCTCGTATCTCATCGAACTTTGCCAGTGATAACCAAGACTCACTCAAACATTTGCATCAAAATAAAACAAAGTAAACAATGAACTGTATCTCCTATTTCCATTTATCAAAGTCACTTATAACTGCTTTTCAGAACTGCTTTCGGACCTGTATACCGTGTAAGCTTTGAGTACATTCGCACATTGATTTCCTCTATCTGCTCCACATGGACTGAACGCATTCTGAATTGTAATAGCGAACATTAGTCACTGCCAGATTTGCGTCGCAATGTAGAAGCCTATTACAGACGCCAAGGAAGTATATAGGTGCGGAGCCATCACTCAATTCTCCAAACCAAATCCATGCAAATTACGCTTCTATTAAAATATCATTATGGAGTCTTGAGGTTTACCGGGAGTTGTGTTATGTTTTATTCACACATGTTTAACACAAAAACCCTGGATATTTAGAACTAATGTACTTCTTTTAAAAATTACTTTAAGTGTCGATCTTACGTGAAATTGACTCCTGTGAGTTTTTAGCCATGTTAGAATGTTGTTACCTCCTCAAAAACATACTTACATACTGTGTTTAATTTCATTCACACATGTTTGAGTCATGATTTATTATTAGTCTGTCAGCATCTCCAAAACTCAAAATGCTCTGTTCCACCTTGTTTTCATGTTAACAGCTACCCTCTACTTTTAGTTCAGTAAAGATTTTAGATTTGAAATGAAAATCCAAATGATTCTAGTGAAGGTGTATGAAGTTTAAAACACAGTGGAGGATATTATTGTTTTATTACATTCACACATGTTAAACACACAGATCTTCCATATTTAGGCTGAGTTCTTCTCTCAAAAAACTGTAAAAATTTAGTAATACAGTTAGTGCTCCACTGTGTTTTAAACTCCATACACCTTCACCAGAATAAATGGATAATTTCAGCCCTGGAATAGCAAATTTCTACTGAACTAAAGGTAAAAGGTAGCCGGATTCATCAGCCGGTTTCATTTGGTGGAATCCGTCTGAGCTTGAAGCGTTAGGATTTGTTCACTCGACGGTAGACGGGTACTTTTTTTATTTAACCAATCGCTGCTATTCGGTCGTGACGTATGTAATGATCCAAATCCTGTAGGAAGAAGGGCAATATCGTCTTTCCCCTTGATAAAAGTCACCAAACATTCTCTTTGTTCCGGCTTTAAATCCTCGATCTTGGGAATTGTTGCCAACACAGAATATCTGTCTTCATCTACATCCATCTCGACCGCTTTGTTTACTGTTGTGCTGTACCACAAAATGGACCCAGACAGGAACTTGAGTTTGACGTCATGGCTTCACAGCTCTTTGCCGGTGTGCGGTCTACAACTTCTGGAGTTCTTGCAAACTGTCTAGTGTATTCCAATTCCTGACCTAATCACTGGAGAGAAATGAAATGCAGTGTTGCACTAGGTAGTGCCAGTCTGGGTAGTAAAAGGTAGCTTCTTTTATGGTTCTTTTTTAAAGACAGTACAGTAAAGTGTAAGGATGACAGAAAGTAACAACAGCTGATATACGATACATCAACACCAACACCAAGGTAACAAGGTAAATACACATTTCTGTATTGTCTTAAAGAACCCAAGAAGTTAAAGTACATAAGAGGACAAAATGAACATCTTTGGTTTAATAAGAGCATTTTGAGTTTGGAGATATAGACAGATTAACAATAAACTGTTACTCAAACATGAGTGAATGAAACAAAACACAACTTAAGATATGTCTCTGGTAAAGTAAAAACACTCTAACATGACTTAAAGGTGCACTATGTAACTTTTTGGTTGGGGAGCCCATGAACTGCTTGTTTCTATGAATATTTCACTGTTCTAATTGGAATGTTCCACAGTATGACGTCAAACTGTTCTACTTTACGTTTATTCAATTACAGGTCGTTTAAAGCTCAAAAATACCTGACTGTGAGCGGGTTCGCCTCTCCACAGATCTGACCTGTAACTTGGTCTGGTTTGATCTCCATGAAGATAGAAAGGTTACACTTACACAACGCACCTTTTAAAGTTCACAAGAATGTATTTGGCGTAATATAGGACCTTTAAAGTGTAGGTATTATACAATGTTACTGAAAGTTTTAAAGTCAAATATTTGGTCTCAAACTGGGTCAGCTACATTTTCCTTTGAACGTTAGACCCCCGTAGACGCCAAGGAAGTATACAGGTGCGGAGCCATCACTCAGCTCAGCAAACCAAATCTTTTCTTAGGCTAATTACCCTCCTATTAAAATGTCATTATGGAGTCTCGAGGTTTACCAGCTCTGACCCAAAAAACACGAGCCGATTTCAACAGTTCGAATGATGACACCATTTAGATCGAAGTGAGCTGTTTGTCATAGTTTCAAAATGGGTTTATAATGGGACATAGACAGAGCGTAAAAGAAAGCAATTTGGATGGAGATTTATGAGTGCAAATGTATGCAGATGTAAAGTAAATAAATTTGTTGGGTTTTAACAAGTTGAGAAAATTCTGCACTCTGAAGGCAGATTATATGATGTCTGTAAGATGGCTAGATACATTTAAAACGAAGTGGAACAAAGTGTGTGGTGGATTGTTGTGGCCCGGCTCTATGAACTCAACAGAGAAAGTGCAAACACGACTACGGCCAAGGTTTAAGCTCACTGTTGGAGCAGTTATTATGTTAGAATAAATATGTGCAAGTAGAGCTAATGTGCATTGTGATGACAGCGTGACCAGATGGACTCAAGTCAGAGGAACAGCCATGGGTGTAGGAGGCGGGTCCCTTTCATAGGCGGCTGGATGCGCAGGGACCTAGTGCATCTGGGTCACCTCAAATTAAAATATAAAAAAATATTAATTATCATAAAACAATGGCACAACAGGGGCTGTGACATTTATAAATAGACTAAGTAAAGCTATCGAAATGTATCGTAAGTTTTCTTATAGTGGACTTACAATTAGAACAGTAGAGTGCAAAGAAAATATTAGGTCTGATCTTGCCCCCAATCTTGGCATTATTGCAAGTGTTAAGGACGTGCGTGTCCAGGTC